CAAAAAAAAATCTAGAAACGTTTCTAGATTTTTTTTTGCTTTGTTTTGTTTTTGTTTTTTTGAATGTCCAGAGGACCAGATTGAACTTTTTTGGATCTGCTCCTCAGTTCTTCAGTTCTGTTTATATCTACCTGTTTAACTGTTACACTTCACTGCAACAGTTTAATCAAAAAATAATGTGATCTAATGTACTTACCTATGAATGAATATATAAAAATACATTTCTTTGTTGTTTTGGTTTGTTAAAATGAAGATCTACTGTTCTTAATTCATTTGGAGTCTGCACTGAAAATTATTACTGAATGCATTTTGAGACAATGAGCAGAAAATGATCTACATGCTGCCACTTCTTAGCCTCAATATGAGATTATCAACACAAAACGCAACAAAATGAAAGTTCTGAGGATGGGTTGGTAACTGACCTCTGTGTTTTCTGTTCCTCGCAGTATTTTTTCCTCTCCTCTTCATCCATGTCCATGAGTTTGGACTCCAGAGCGCCACTCAGGGGAATGACCACCGAGCCGGGATCGTGAGCGTCTACCCACTCTTTGATTTTTGCTAACCTGAAGGGAAAAAATGGCAGAACTGTAAAATATTATTGTTATAAAATTTTATTTGTGAACCAACGGCTTGGCAGTCGCAGAAGGAATGCATATCTGAAAGTCAGCTCAAAATATTCAATTCAGTTATTTCTATAGCACCAAGTCACAACAGAAGTCATCTCAGGGCACTGAACAGAAACATTCACATACATAAAAAGTCCATTAGTAAAGTTATCTACAAACCGGATTCCAAAAAAGTTGGGACACTAAACAAATTGTGAATAAAAACTGAATGCAATGATGTGGAGATGGCAAATGTCAATATTGTATTCGTAATATAACATGGATGACAGATGAAAAGTTTAATCTCAGTAAATGTAACATTTTAAAGGAAAAATATGTTGATTCAAAATTTCACTGTGTCAACAAATCCCAAAAAAGTTGGGACAAGTAGCAATAAGTGGCTGGAAAAAAGAAATTGAGCATATAATGAACAGCTGGAAAACCAATTAACACTAATTAGGTCAGTTGACAACATGATTGGGTATAAAAAGAGCTTCTCAGAGTGTCAGTGTCTCTCAGAAGCCAAGATGGTAAGAGGATCACCAATTCCACCATTGTTGCACAGAAAGATAGAGCAGCAATACCAGAATGGTGTTACCCAGCGTAAAATAGCAAAGACTTTTAAGTTATCATCATCAACCGTGCATAACATCATCAAAAGATTCAGAGAATCTGGAACAATCGCTGTGCGTAAGGGTCAAGGCCGTAAAACTCTACTGGATGCTCGTGATCTCCGGGCCCTTAAACGTCACTGCACCTCAAACAGGAATGCCACTGTCAAGGAAATAACAG